TTATTTAATCGTATGTTATGCACCTAAAGCGACATGCTATTGTAAGCTACATTGCTACAACCGCTATAGGCTATCTACGCCAAAACCAAGCTATGAAACACCGCTAAACAGTGTACCCATCTAGCTAAAATACCCCATAATACATACATATATCACGCCTATATTCCATGCGGGGTAGGCAGATAATTAGTAGTACCCAAAAAAACTATCCCTACCGCACCAATATTTTAGCAAGCATTCATACTACAAAGCATACATGGCACATGCACAGGGATAAGGGTAATTGTGAAAAACATGCGAAATATGCAGCTACCTACTTATGCAAGCAAGCACCACCACCACCAAGCCAAATTCACCTTGCAAGCGACATTCAACCGCATCCAACATACAAAAGCAAGCAACTAACTACTAAATACGTGCAAATACGACTGCTTATACATGCACTAGTCGTATGTAACAAACATCAAGGGTAAAAATAAAACAGCAAAATTCATATTATTGACGTCAGTCGTAGTGTGAGTGAAACTTAGAAGTTGCAATGAGAATTGCAGTTCACAGCGTGTAGCTGTTATTAAATAAACCAGCAACTGGCCGGCGACGAATTCAGAAGCACCCACGTTGATTGAAGCACAAAACGAAGCGTTATTTTTCTTGAAGCACTTTGGTCGGACGATCTCGAAGTATTCTTCTTGAAGCACGTTGCTTGGACGATCTCGAACGAAGCACTAGTTACACAACTGGCACGATGGATTGTTGGAAAGCAGCATGGCACGTAGTCATCTTCGATATGGAGCACGGGGACAAGAATAACTGAAGTCTTCGATGCGGCGAGTAACGAACGTCAGTCGTCGATGCGTGGACTTACTTCGTGAAGCGTGTGTTCTCGATGGTGGCTGCCGTGGACTAACGTGGCGGGCGGCGGCGCCGTGCGCGCGCGCGTTATATAGACGGAGCGAATTGGCGTCAGCGTCGGCCGGTATCGTGCGCCTTGCGGCTGCGGGGGGACCGCCTGCCGCCCGCGCAGATCCAGCGCTACGAAGTTTGAAGACGGAACATGCGTATTAATTTTAAGCGTATTATTTTAACGTAAATCTTGTTAATAAAGTTATGTTCCTATATTTTTAGTATTATGTTTTATATGACCATTATTGATGTAAATAAGATATTTGAGTTTTGTTTTATTTTCTTTCCTTATGAACGTTTCACTAGGAAGGGAGGTATGTGGGGTACACACATTTATGTATTTTATACGATACCGTCAAGATGTATTTCTAAAATTAGGATTTCACTTCGTAGGGTATATCATTTATGTTATTATTTTCAACTACCCACAATTTTGTATTTGTAAGATTCTTACTCGACTTGGTATATACTAAATGAGCTATGTGAATGTTGTTAATGTATAGGTCTAATTTCTTGAATAAATAACCATTCTCACCAGCCTGCACTTGGCTACAAGCAAAACCAGCTCTTTCATTTCACGCACACATCACCCAGCTCAGGCACCACACCTAAAATCTACCCACCTACAGGTAGAGTCAAAGTACAATGATGTGACTACTTGCACATTTTTATCTTGATACACATCGAAATACTTTTCTATTACTTATAATTGCACCAGTGGGATTGTTGACAAATAGGAAATTGTAAATACCTACCTATATAATTTTACATAAACTACGAATTGCCTATTAGTTTGCAAATGTCTTAAATGCATATCTACGAACTGCACCATTCGACAGTCTAGCCTGACAAGATATTCGTTTAGCCAGATCCGGTGTTTTGATGCAATCTGATACAAAAACCGGATATCACGTCATAGCTGGTACCGTCGCTGATTAAATAGCGCTAACCGGACGATACCTATTGCGATCGGGCCATCCAAGTGTCAACCTGGAACAGACAGCCGCTCGGCAATAGGTATCGTCCGGTTCTTCGATTCACCCGATCCACCATATAGCTACCTACACCTACTCGTCCTCCCACGACAATAGGAATCTCAGTTCCTCCATAGGAAGGAAGCGTGCCATCTTTATTCGATTAGCTCCGGCCGGCGGCGGCACAAAGCACCAAACACAATAGGTACGCACAGCTACTGTTGCGTAAAACGAAACGTAAAGTTCTTTACTAACGTGACTTGCGAGTTTTTGAGGATGTGAACAAGAAAAGAGATATTTTGAAAGAGTAAAGGTCAAGTTAAAAAAAATGGCTCTGAGAAAGTGAATACTTAAGACGGAATCCTCAAACAGCCAAGATTTTGTTGAGGCATTTAAGTCACTGTTGGGAGCCACATTTTAATGCCAAATCTCGTATTAAACTGTGTGTATTTCGACTATCCATTGTTATTTCATAAGTTCATTACCTACAGTCTTTTTCTGCATACTTAAAGTATGTATCTAGCTAGTTTTAAGGAAATTTGTGAAAGGTTGGCTAGAATCACACTCACAATCTAAACTGTTTAGGGTTAGAATTCCTATGCTTTCCTTAATCATTTTGGTGTTTGTGTTTAAATTGAAGACGCCTAAATTTGTCTGTCTATCAATTTCCCCTTTTGGCAAAATTACCACTATTATTTTAGTCCGAAATTTCGCGTACCTAAACTGAAATCTAATTTCAATTTGATTAGTGCGACCGCAAGCAGACACAAATCAAAGATTTTAGCATCATAAACACTGAAGTATTTTAACTGTACAGGGTGCTAGGATATTGCCCACGTAGACAGGTATTGAAAAAGTTACCTATATATGTATTTCTATTGTATGTTTCATAATACATTTTAAGCGTATTCTATTTACCCATTTAAGGGATCAACGTATATTGGTTTTTCTTAGTATGTGTATGAAAAACACTTATAAATGGGTAGTTGGATTTACTGGCGATAGAACCTAAATATAAGTACTTACCCATTTAAATGAATGGAACCGCTGCTGTATCCGCGAAATGGAATTCGTTCCATTCATACAGATAGGTACAGTGAGTAGAATCACCTATGTACATTTGAGGACATAAAATATTACTAAAGTTCACCCTGTAGGTAGACAGTAAGTAAGTACAAAATATCGCAATATGTTTCAGCCTGGCAGAGCTTTGGCAATTCAAGGAATTAACTCCGTCGGACCGAAATTCGCATCATCAAAATGATGTCAGGCAGAAAGTGGAGTTTCATGAAATGGCAAGTTATCGTGACCGAAATTAGATTTAGAAGTCTAATTCGAAATTCGTTTAGTACCTAGTTGCATTTTGAATTGTTTAAATAAGACTATCCGCCAAGGTTGTGAAAAAATACTAGTGAGTTACCTACGTAAAAATCAATAATCCTACTCTAATCATGAATCTGGGTAGATACTCAGCTACAGAAACTCATTAAAAAAATATTCTACAATATTAGAATGCTAAAAAAGGGATTGAACTTTCTTCAACAGTTTTATAACTCCTTTATTTACGCATTTATATTTCAACCTCAAAACTTCCACAAAGTTGAGCACACCTTTAATAAATATTCAACAAAGCCCAATTACACTATCTAACCGATCTTCCCGTGTAATTGTTTGTGAGTAACATGCTAACAAGCTAACAAGTCATATGCCATCATACTCATATCCTCAGAGTGAGGAGAGGACCCTTCGTATAACCAAAACATATACCTAGAAAAGATGGGATACTATGCGTACAAAGTACATAATATTTGTAAATTATCTTTTTGTGATATGGCGATTTCGTACAGCCGTTTACGCTCTGCCTACCCCGCAAGGGATATAGGCGTGATATACTTATGTATATGTGTGTAGTATGCAACGTCAGTATAAGTGCTTTTTAATAAAACGTAGACGGAATATAAGTTCTTATTTTCAATGTTGTTGCTGTGATTAGGTAAATCTGATTGCGATTTTTGGAATGAGTTTTTTGTGGCTTAATTTCTGGTTCTTAGGATTAGCTCTGAACCATGTACTTGCTCTAAGCTCACATCCATTTGAAGTCACATTGCCTTTGCCGCCGAGCCTTCAGCCGTCTTTTGCGTGAAGTCTCTGTGATTGCTCTGTGCTATGTTAATTGCAACTGAAAGCTGAAATGAGGTACAAGTTGAATTGTAATTAGCTTGGGTTGGTTGGTTTGTGGGTTTTCTAGGCCTAGTTAGCGTAGCCTAGTGGGTATGATAAATAGAAAATCTATCGGCCTTCCGATAAAGTAAGTATTTCTGGTTATTTTTAGTACATTCAAATGGGGCATATCACGAAAAAGTCAAACCCACTTAAGTTTAAAGTTGTAGAACCTAATGCTCTTTAGTAACATATCCATTTGTCACACACGGAAGTACAAATCGTGTTTTTTTACCTAGTTGTTAGGTACTCTACAGCACTCTACATTACAGATACCTATCTATACAAAAGTCAAATACTATAAACGAAAAAGTGCCATCATTCTATTCCCATTGTCATACTTGACTATAAAACCGTGTCTCTTTGTGAGACACAATGATAATTTGTCATCGCATATCCTGGGCTACCACCTGGCCTGCACGCGACCCCAAATATCCATCTATCGGTAAAAAATACGATTAAAATTTTACCCTTCGACGTACACTGATGGCTTTACACCAACGAACGCTGAAGGAGACTTTCACAGTAAGCAATGTATAACGAAATGAGCAATAAATAGTTTTTATTCTGTATGGTCCCCCGATTTGCAATGCTCGCGCCTTTGTAAATACGTTTGTTTAAATTTATATTATGTGATCTTCAAAATGTTATTTAAGTAGTTCTTCAAACAGGAACAGATGCGGGGCGGGGCGGCAGATGTTCTTGCGGTTTATGTATTTTGTTTGATGATAGTTTTGACAAAAAATATCTAGCGGCATTTTGCAACTGTGCTATTCGTTTTTCAAACTAGTAAAGAAGATCTTGTACATAAAAGAGGTCATATCATAACCAAGAAAAAGTTATCTACAAACACTTCTTGTGTTAGGTAGGTTAGTGTATTTATGGAAAACTTGCAAAATATTCCACCGCAGGCAGGAATTGAACCTGCGACTGTCGGCATCTGTACTGCCTACGCCTCAAACAATTGGGCTACCGCGGATCAATCCTAGCCTACCTTTGGCCACTAACGCGTGGCAGGGCTTCATCTCCTGGGATAGTTATGCAACTATAAAATGCAAGTTTTCCACAAAGAAACGTCATAACCTAATGTGTCTCTTGGATCAAAACATCTAAAATGCACATACAACGTGTTACAAAACAACCCATAAAATCTCCCATACAAATGGAGTTCATTTTTTATGGGAGGTCCAATTTTTTTTTCATATTTCGTGCCATGTTCCTTGGGGAAAGTTGTTTAGTTTTACGAGTACCTTGACCTCCTTTCAGCTTTATTGGTTGTTTTGTAACACCCAGTATAAGGTGTAAAAAAATTAACTGCAAATATTTTAAGGGGTGAACCAGCCCATGAAACTGAACAACTTTCCCTAAGGAACATAGGTCGAAATATTTTTTTTCAGTTGATTTTTTTACATACTGTATACGTTGAAAAATATTGTAAGTACCAACTTCACTATCTCATAATATTCTATAAAATGACTATTTATACGCTGTTTGGTAGACGGAATTAAATTACAAACACAAAAGCAAAAATAATCCCGTAATTGATTAATGGTTATGATCTCGAAAATAACGGGTGGAAAAACAACATTTGAAAATGGCAACCCGGTCGCTGGTGGCGCCGCCAGCATTCGCGGTCGGCGGATCGACTTCCCGTGCCGTTTCCCGCCAAAATGGATCGCTTCCGGTACGTATTTGTCATCTCCGAATCAGGACTGTGGAGACACCACTGAACCGAACAAAAATACAAAGATTAAATCCATAAATCTGGTATAATGCATATACCCGCTTTTCACGCTGAAATGAATGACGCTGTTCTTCAATTAATATGATTTCAGTGCCAAATGCTCATGGTTGCAGGAGCCAAATTACAATTTCAGTGCTTTTTCTATGTTTTTATTTATGATCCTTGTCATCATAACCCCTTTACATATATGATATCAATCAGAATCAGCCACATCAAAGCATGCACTGAATGATGCTTGTCTGAAGTTATCTCTTAAGGGAGTTTGATTAGAACAATAAATAATAAAATAACTTTAAATTTATCATAACAGCCATTTACATCATTCTTATAAGATTGAGTTTGTTTCGCAGGCATTGGATTGGTCAAAATAGCAAATAAGTACCTACCTAAAGTGACTTAAGAAATCAAATAAGGAAAGCCAGCTCCAACAGTCTTTATTCCAATTGGTATCGGAGTGAAGTAATCCGTTTGTTGGAAACACGTCGTTACAGTCCGGGGATTAACATTCCCCGGGACCCGGGGTGCCACCCCACTGCAAACTTAATGAGCCTTGCTATAAACAAGCTTGCAAATTATCGGGAATCTCAATCTTGCTGATCTTATTAACTGGTCTTGTCAGAATATGTTACGTAGTTTCTAATAGAATAGTAGGTTACGAAATGGTTTTACGTACTTTGTAAAAGAGTTAATGAATTATTACTTTGGTGTCTATATTTTTAAAATCGGATAAAATATTTGTAGATAAAATATTATCAAATCGGGGAATCTCTTGCTGATCTTATTAACTGGTCTTGTCAGAATATGTTACGTAGTTTCTAATAGAATACTATGTAGGTTACGAAATGGTTTAGTACTTTGTAGTAACAGATAATAAATTATGACTTTGGTGTCTCTATTTTCAAAATCGGATAAAATATTTGTAGATAAAATATTATCAAATCGGACTCTTATATGCTACTCGATTAAAAAATATATCCAATTCAACGTAAACAACCTTTCGATTACAAATTTCAAATTAGCCATTCATACCAATTAGCTCCGCTTAATTATGCAATAGTCCCGCTAATAGTCAAATTAAATTAGTTTTCGGCATACATCTCTATATTGTTTTGTAAATAAGAAGTGACTCTTCTAATATCAACAGCACGCACCCTTTCCAAATAGGAAGTGCGTAAACACAGAGCAGGCAATCACAGTAGCACCACACCTATAGTCCGGCTACTTCGTGCACGACCTTCCTGCGGGGTACAGACGGTCGGGGGGCGAGGAAGCACGTCATTTTAATATGACGTGCAGCGCGGATGCGCGCGTCACCCTTCCCCGCTACACCTCCCGCTACCCGCTGACATCTCGCCCCCCAACGTCTGTCACCCCTAGGGAAGGTCGCGCACGAAGTAGCCGGACTTATAACCTGAGTCACTCTCACCCACAGGTCGCGGTGTCACGTAATTGTGAGAACCGATCGCGTAATTAGCGCTAGAGCCGCCAGAGGTCGCGGGAATGCACTCCCCTAATGTACCTACTGTGTTGTTTTTTACACCAACACCCCGTGGGACTTTTAATTATACTGTTTATTTTGGTAGCGCTTCGTTGTGATTGTGTTACACGGTTTGTGGGTTTTGAATTAGTGAAGAATTTGTTAGCAGTCTTATGAGAATCGTTTCAAGCTGGACTGATTTTAGAATTTACCCAAAATCTCATGGATCCTACTCAATGTTTTTATAATTAAATATCTAAAAGATCTTAAAAACAGTAATAGATATCTTAAAATGTACATTTTCCCTTTCAGTGCTTTTCTGGCAGTTCACGTTACAGATACATTTTAAAATTTTCATCCTCCCCCGGTATTTCACCAAACGTTCAGATTGTGCACTTAAAACGCCTACGGGGATGACCCGTGAAAGTTATTGTGTAACAAAACAATATGAGTGCGTCAATTTATTTCAATTTACACGGCAAGCATTGTTTCGACGCGGCTTCCGCCCGCCGTTCCCGCCACGCGCGCGCCGCGTGCCGCGCCATCTTTGAATTGCACCCCACAACAATTGTCCAGTGTTACCATTTTAGAAAAATACACCCCATTTTCGGGACACACGCAACGCAATCGCAACTTATCCCCCCACGAAATTAAAACGAATTTAGAATGAAATTTTGAGAGTGACTTGAAACCTTTTTCGCTAAGCGGAAATCATTTGATTGTTTTATCTGCTTCGCTAATGTTGTTTAATAATTATCTGGAACATATTTCGTGTAGTGAATGTATTATTACGATCGTCGCTTCCAGGATGGGACTATAATTTAGATTGAAAAGTCATGTCAGCGCCCTTTTGCCCTTTCTCACAGGTTCTGCCACGATCGTCAATATTAGTTCATCGAATGGTACCTTACCAAAATTCAAAGTAGGTAGGTATTAGTAGTAGGCAATTAGAAAAGACACCAGACTTCATCGGGTCGTTGAACGACTCGGTGCTCCACACGAAAAGAGGAAGGTAGGTCATTGAATGGCCCTAATTACTACACTAGCTCTATGATATCTTTGAGTGACACTTGTATAAACCAACATAAGTAGGTATATAAAAAAAACCGGCCAAGAGCGTGTCAGACACGCCCACATATAGGGTTTCGTAGTCAACGTTTAAATATCAGGTTTTTCAGCATTACAAACTTAATTTTGTTGCTGGTTTGTTAGCAGCAGTATGATGACCAACCGCAAATAGAAAAACTCATTTTTTTCTAAACCTGATAAGGGTACAATATCCGTTATAGTTTTCATTGTAACTTCAGATTGTAAGCTATATTCCATATTTATTTCAAATTTTTAGCATTTATACTTTAGAAGTTACAGCTGGAACAAATTATGGGTCAAAAACGCCCTTTTTAAAAGCAAATATCTCGTGACAGAAATATTTTAGTGACTTTGTTTCAAAGAAACCTCACCTTAGTTTTAAAAGACCTATTCAACGATACCCTACTCAATATTACAGAAGAAAAAAAAAATTTTGCCCCCCTTTCACTTGTATGGGAGGGGGTCCAAAAAACATTTAATATAATTTTTTTTTTAACATTTCTATATTTGGGTCAACACGATCTATCTTCTCACCAAATTTCATGTCGATAGCTGTAAAACTGACGAAGATATGAGGGCGCGGCATACAGACAGACAGACAGACAGACAGACAGACAGACAGACTTGACGAAACTATAAGGGTTTCTAGTAGACTACGAAACCCTAAAAATGGGCCACCTATCTTCTTGCTAAATATCGCTTTTGGATTCTGGAGAAAATAACCATAAGACCAATGATTATTACTCTCATTGAACAAATAAAATTGACCTCGCAATCAGACCAGCCATTACGCTAACATACTAGATCAACAATACTAGAACAGGGGGAGCCCTCATACGACGTGTTACCGCGGGGGTAGCTGATACACGACGTGTAAGTAAACATCCGCGCCCCGTGTTGGCTTGTCACTGCGCACTGTGACTTACTGATGGGCAAACAGTTTTGTTGAATGAGAGGTGAGCGAGGAGAATGTATTGTGGGAAATTTGTCTAACGGCTAGGTTACAAATTAGGGCGCCTTAGATGGCTCATTCAGTACTAGCTACGATTTTGACGTTTACTTGCATATACTGGAACGAACTGGAATGTCAGAGGAGCACTAGGTAAGTAACTAAGAAATTGGTTGCCACATACGTCATATTTCTTATATTGAAATCGGCTCAGAATCATATTACGTTCTTGTATCAGATTTAGCTGTATTTCGTCCTGGTATTGAATCTAGCAACCCTGGCTGTGTAGGTAACAAGTGATAATCGCAGGCCTTGATAATTATCTCTATTCCGCATTTTACGACAACTATGGAAGTGCCGTGTGATGCCGGCTTAGAATAGCATAACCCCAATTCTACCCGTGGGTCGTAAAAACCGACTTAGGGATAATTATCCAGGGAATGGGCAGCAGCGTTTCCTGTGAATTAAACATCATGCACTGCGCTCGCCAATCCGCCTGCCAAGCGTGGTGAGTACGGCAATACCCCCCAATACGGGGGAGGCCCGTGTCCAGCAGTGGACTGTTGTGGCTGTAAAGGTATGGGAATGGGCTGATGCTATTCTAAGCCAGCAAGCATTACAAGGGACTTTGGTCATGTTCGTATATTGGAGGTCACGGAAATCAAATTTCCGGTTTCTAATGCTCCCGTTATCCGCATTTTTGGCTTTGCTTATTTTTGA